GTGTCACGGCCGGACCCAGAAGCGCTCGGCAGAGCCCGGCGGCCGCGGGCACGGGCTGGGACAGGACCGTGCGGGGAGACGCCGTGGGCGGCCGAACAGCGCGGACTTTGCTCCGGTAAACAGAGCTGGAGGGGAGTTATCAGCGCTGCCAGAGGGGAGGCAAAAGGCAGGAGAGAGTCTGAGGGAGTCTGAGAGACGGAGTGTTCCGGCTGCCGGGATAAGCGGCAGCGGATCCGGTCGCTGCGCCGCCAACACGGCCCCGGCGAGTGGCTGAGGGGGGTCGTGGGGAGCAAAGAGCAGCTGGGGGGACTTCACCTGCCCTGCAGTGACCTGGGGCTGTGTCTCCCTTCCTGGTGGATTTTTCCTTCGTGCATGAAGGGCAGATCTGCCCCGAGGGCAGGGACGGAGCTGGCACTGCGGCGTCACCACCCTGGCACCACCATCTTGGCATTGCCACCGTGGCACTGCCACAGCAAGCACTGGCTCTGTCCCCGTGCTGTCCCTACACAATCTTTAGGGACAGGCTGGAAGTACCAGGGAAGTTTCCCAGCTTTGGGGCCTCCCCAGCCAGAGGCTCTGGCAGTGCCGGCGGCACCGTGGGGTGTCCAACCTGCCCAAATCCCGGTGGGATTAGGCAGCAGTGATCCCGGGCAGCGCTGCCAGCACAGTGCCCTCACTCCTGGCTCTCCCTGGCTCCATTTGCCGAGTCCTGGGAGCACCTGGGGGCTCATCATGCACCCACCATGGACCCATCTCAAAATTCCCAGGGCACCAGCCCAGGCAAGGAGGCTTGAGGGAGATCCTGGAGAGGGAGGTGAGGTCACCCAGCAGGGATGGAGGATGAGGAAGAGGAGAAGGAGGAGGAGAAGGAAGAAGAGCGCAGTGTGGGCACATGCCCAGCTGAGGCAGGGGTGAAAGGGAGAGTCCAAAGGCACCATCTGCTCCACTGGGACCTTGGGAGCTCCGTGGGAGCAGGGCCAGACCGTGTCCCTGTGCCACAGGCGCCAGCGGCTCCCACTTATCTGGGTGCTGGGTCCTGCTTTCGCCGCAGCGAGTGAGATCAGGAAAGCACCATTCCTGCCACGGCTGCTCCCAAGGGATACTCTGGCCCAGCCAGCGGAGCAGAGCAGGGTCAGATGGGGGGTCTGGCTGCAGGGACTGAGCACCAAAATCCCCCCCAGCACAGCCAGTCCCACACTGTGCCCCTTTGGCTTTATCTCTGCTCAGCCCAGACACTGGGATTAAACATCTGCCTCAAGGCTGCCTGTCCCTGGCAGCTCCCACGGCAGCTCCCCCAGCACCCTGCTGTGTCCATGTGCCCCCCGTGCCACCCCCGGGGGGATTTCCCACCCCAGGTCTGGGGCTGCCACTGGCAATCAGCCCCATCCTGCCTGTTCCAGCCTGTGGGGCACTTATGGGGCAGATCACCCGACGTGTCCATGACATCCTGCACGCTGGGCAGCGAGGCCGTGCTGACATTCCTGCAGGTCTTTCCCTTTGGATCAGGATGCTCACACAGGAGTAGGAGATGCCTCTTGTGGCCACCAGGCCACGACACCACAGACACCAGCGATGCTCCTGGGCTGTGACAGAGCCGTCCCTTCCAGCACGAGGGATTTGCGCAGGGAGTGATCTCTGCTATTTATTCATCCCATCTCCCTGTGCCTGGCACCTCAGCAAGGAGCCCTTTGCCTCCACTCTTCCCATGACATTTACACCCCGCACATCCTTTTAAACCCCCCATTTTTACAACTGAGCCGATTTCCAGCATCACAACAGCCAGTCCCCGCATCCCAACGATCGCTGGCGGGGTCACTGCCGCCCGAGCGCCCGCGCTGGGATTTTCCATATCCTGGGGCAAGAAACAGAGAGTAGGAGCTCCGGCTCTGGCTCCTGCAGAAGGGATTTGGAGGGAGCAGCTCCCACACGGGGTGCAGCGGGGTGGGAAGCGGCACCCGCGGGGCTCAAAGGGGCCCGGAGCGGATGTGGGAGGACCTTGTCCCGGCTACCCGTGTGTGATGGAGGTGTTAATGAGTAATGAGGGAGCAGCCAGGGCTCAGTGTCCCAGCCAGGCAACGGAAATTGGGGCAGAGGATGGCTGAGCACACCGCAGGGCACCGGCTGCACCGAGGCTGTGCCGCCCTGGCACGAGGAGCTCCTGTGGTTGCTGGGACACGTGATGCCGGAGCAGGAGCTGACGTGTTTTATCACCCTCAGGTGACATTCGAGATCTCAGTTCCCAGGGATCAGACGTGGGGGGCTCCTGGGGACAAGGCAGCCTCTCTGCCTCCCCTCCCCTGTGCCTGGATCTCCCAGGAGCTGAGCTCCAGCCAGTTGCTCTCCCCATGAAGCCCCCAGTATCCTGTACCCAGCTGGGTACCCCACACACTGCTGGTCCTGAGGCTCTCTGAGAGGGGGGAAGCTTTCCAGGGCCCTGCATGAAGGGCTGGTTCTTTAGGAAGCTCCTGGAATTTCCTTCTTCTCTAGGACTGGGACTGTAAGAGCAGGAAGGATGAAGGCAACCTTCCTCTTCACCTTCCTCCTCTACTTTCCTCTCCCCAGAGGGTAACTGATACTCTCCCTCTCACTGTGATTATTTGGAC